CTGCTTTTAAGAGATGTGGAAACAGAGGTTTAGAAAGCTAGGAGACCTGCCCATGGTCACATGGCAGGACCAGGACCTGGGTCATCAGAGCCCCAAGGCTCTGCCACAGGCTTGGCAGAGGCTTGGGGTGAGCCTGGAGGAAGGAGTTGGCCAGCAAAACTCAAAGGAGGTGCTTCTGGCCACAGAGCTGAACAAGGGGGTGGGGCTGCCTTGGAAGGCACCTCTCTGGCAGTCAACTGTAGGAGGGGAGCGGAGCTGAGTGCCTGGCAGGACACCCCTCTTCCGACCTTTATATCCAGCTCCTCTGGGGTGAGCTCACCTTTGGTCTTGTCAGCTATAAACCAGCTGAACAGTCGTACTGCCTCCAGATGAGTGGTTCTGATTGTGGCCAAGTCCCCCAGGGACTGTGCTCCATCCATCTGGTGTGGGGCTGAGCACCCTTGCCTGCCTGAAACTACAGGAGGATGCGGGAGTGTGAGGGGGAGGGGGACTTGTGGGGGTTCACAGACAACATGCTCATTTCCTGGGTCTGCTGAGGAGGGCTGGCGGGACCTGAGCTGATGTCATCCAAATAGCTCAGCTTATTCTCTCTAATTCTGGAGACAATTATTTGCTTAGAGAGCCACCTGCCTCTCTCAGCACCTCCAGCCTCTCCTGACCCCCACTACTCCTCCCCACCACAGTAGCTAGGTTCTGCTTCCCAGAGCATGTATGGCCCAGACTCTGCCTGGCTCATGAGCCCTGCCACTTGCCTTATCCCTTGTTCTGCTTGGGACCTGGGGTCCCTCCCCCATGGTTACCCTTTACTCTCATGATTGCTCCGGCCTGGAGGACCCTTTCCTCAATGTGCTTCCTCCTGCCAGCCTGGGCTGTTCTCACATTTCCTCACTGCCAGTCCACCCAAGCCTTCTTCTTGTACCATACCCGAATTCAAACCCCCTCCTTTAGGCGGCCCTGTGGTGCTAGTGTCCCTAGGTCTTACCTCTCCACTGGGCATTCCCTATTCTTCCCACTTAGCAAGTACCATCTTGGATTGTACTAGATTTTCTCACTCTTTTTTTTCTGAGACCTTCTCTGGGGGCTTATCAGACCCCAGAACACTGAGCTGGGGTCAAGGGGGTTCCAAATGGGGCCAAGGGGTCGAAACAAACATGTCAAAGTGATCATCATCATAAACATAGGGACAAAAAAACACAAAGAAATCCACAAATTCATGTGAACCAAATAAAAACTTTTGGCTATAAAACCAAAATGTTTATTTATTTAATATACAATTTAAATTTTTTCTTGAACGTCCAAGCTAGATGTTCCTGGGAGCTTGGGGGTTTGACACTCTGATCTGACGCACTTCCTTCCACTGTTTCACAAATGGGTAAAACTGCGGCTCAGATTTCCATGCCTGGCCAAGCATCGCTTAGACTCTCATTCCTGCTAGAGAGCTGGGAGATCCATGGAAAGGCATGAAGGGAAAATGAAGCTGAGATTTGGTAGAGCACATCCTGTCTCCCCAACCAGCACGCGAGCCCTCTCAAAGCAAGCGGCTCTGCCTCTTTCTGCCCTCAGTCTCCCCAAATCTCAGTTAAGGCCGGGGAAAGGTCTTCACAACCTTGGTGAACTGTGGCCCTGCCCTGGTTTCCTTCAGTCTCTCCCTCTTGCCCTCCAGCAAAAAACACAACCACCCCAGGAGCCCCACCTGGCCCACCCTTCCTGTGGGTGGCCTAGAACTCTCCTCCTTTCTGCTCTATCATCATCCTCATCAACAACATTGGGTGTTTCATACCTAATGGCCAGTATCTGATGAACTAATTCATGTTAAGGCATTAATGACTTGTTAATAACTTGATGAGGTGTTTTTTTTCCCAGGGACACTGTATTTGGAGGGATCCAGAAACTCTGAGGGCAGGACACTTTGCATTGCCCCCCTCTCAGCACTTGGTAAGTGCCCAGTAAATATTTGATGAATGGATCAAACCAAGAGACTTAATGCTTGAAAAGTTCTTCCTACTGAGTTTTGTACTTGGCAAGCATTTGTTAGACAGTGGCTTTACTATTGTTATTCTTAACAGAGAATTTTTCATGATCAGTAATGGTCTGAATGGAGAGATTCCTTGAGTTTGGGACCTCTGGGAAGAACACTGTTCTTTGTCCTCTATCAGCAGATGGCACTTCATGGGAATGGGCTGATCCAGACACCCTCCCCCGGGGAGAGAAAGCAGAGAGGAGGAGAAGACAGGCTGATTCCTAAATTCTGCTTTCCTCTCCACTTTTAGTCATTGATAATATTTATTGAACACTGAATATGTACCAGGCACTTACCAAATACTTTACATGGATTAACACATGTGATCATCACAACTACCCTACGAGGACTTTATTATCCCATTTATGGTTGGAGAAGGTGAGGCGTAGAGAGGTTAAGCAAAGTAACACTGTTGGGTGGTGGAGTGGAATTCAAACTCCAGGGGCAGTTCCTGGAGCCTGGGCACCTACCTGGTGCCATTCTAGGTGGGTGCTGGCCCAGTAGTTCCTCGAAGATGCACTCTCTCTGCTGTTTGTTTGTTGGACATCCCACACCTGGGGAGTGGGTGTCCAGAGACTGGTCCTGGGATCTGAGTAGATGCGGAGAGGGAGGAGTCTTCTGGGGGACACAAAATGCTCACTCAGGCCCAGGCCCTACAGAACATGCAGCCTACACACAGGTGTCAATGGACAGAGAAGTCTAGGGCATGGAGGAGAGGAGATGGGGCTAAATCAGGGTTTTAAACAAGATTTTCAAAGAGCAGAAGGATTGGATCGGAAGAGATGGGGGGAGAAGGTGTTCCAGGTTGGGTAGGAATAGTTGGGTAAAATTTTGGAGGTATTTGAAGAGGAGGCCTGTGGGTGAGATATCCTTGGCAGGAGCAGGGGCAAGGGCGGGGCAGCAGCTGTAGACATTCAAGGTTGGGCTGGGGAGCTGTCATGCAGGTCAAGGAGACGTACAGCTAGCAGGGGGATCCTGTGTGAGGACTGGGTTTCGGGAGCTGTGGAACACCTTTAGTGTTATACCACATGCTCCTTGTGGACAGCATGGGGCACCATGCCTGGCACATAGTTGATGCTCAACAGAGGTTTGCTAAAGGGAGAACCAAGAGAGGGAGCAGGGAGTATACCAGGTGGTCTCTGATCTTGAGAACTTTTTATTTTGTTTACAAAGAAAAACTAAAATGACATGTGACACAGCCTTCAGAGGAACCTCGTGGGAGCTGGCCACAGAGTCACTGCCCTTCCAGCACATTCTGATAACATGCTAAGGGCTGAGGGAGATGAGAGGAGCTCAGACTTGGGCTGTGCTGACCCAGGAAGACTCCTGGGAAGAGAGCAGGTGGTGGAGCAATAGGTAAAGAAGTGGCAAAAGAAAAGGGGAAGGATTGATGGAAGATGGAGAGGAGGGATGAGAAGGGATGGAGAGAGAAGGTAGGAAAGAGAAATTCTGGTGGTTTCAATAAGAACCATGAAGACAAAATGGCAGGGAAAAAGGAGAGGAGGGCAGCTGGGACAGGGAGGGAATGGATTCTGGGTCAACCCCTAAATGAAGTGACAGAAGGCCCTACCCAAGCCTGGCTCCAAATTCTCCTCCCTCCTGTGGCCATAGCCAGCCCAGAGTCACAGCACACCATAGGGCCCCAGCGGGGGTTTTGGGGCAGGGGCGATCCCCAGGGATAGCTTTAGCCATGGGAGAAAAGGGGGCCACAGCAGCAATGGCTGTCATGTGGGAGGACCAGGACCCATCCCCAGAGCCAGGGACACAGGATGGAGGGGACAGCAGGCTGAATCTGGGGCAGGGATTGCAGGGACCACAGGACTGTTTGGAGCAGGACGGCACCATGCTCACTGAGCCACCTTCTTGGAGAGGCCCGCACTCCTGGTGCAACAGAAATTCGGTCTCACCTTGACAGCAGCTTCTTTTATTTGAACTCTAAACAGATGGCTCCTGTCCTCAAGTTGCCCCTAGTTTTACTGGAAGATGTCCTCATACACTGGAAGAAAGACAGAAATGATGAAATGGGATCCCCTCTCCAGAGTCTTTCCTTGAAACCGCTAGGCCCTGAGCAAGCCTCTCTTTGTCATCCCATCACTCCTCCCTGTTGACTCTCTGAATTTCTCAGTCACCTGCCCCAACTCCATCCTCCTTTTCTCTTCCTCTTTCTGTCCAGTGCTTGAAGGACTGGACATCACTTGTCCCTTGCCTTATTACGGGAGTTGGAGAGAAGTGAAATGTGGAGACCCCTTTCCCTGGGGAACTTGCAGAAGCCCATGGCACTCCCAACCATGGTGTCCATGGTTGACTCTGGCCAAAGTCGCTCATGTCCCATGCCAGGGGGAGGGTCACTCCACCCCTTATAGCCAAGCAGACAGAGCTACTGTCTTCCGTGGGTTAGGAGAAAAGGCCACTGTTGGATTATGCCTCCAGGAGGAGAGGGGTAGGGGTGAATGCCTGAATAATCTGCCCCTTACTGGGACGAAGGAGGACACAGCTATGGTTGGAGTCCCCAGATACTCTACCCTTTGGTTCATTCTGTTGAGAGCAGTCCACCTCCTCCCACCCTCCTGAGCCCCCAGGAAGAAGTCCACAGCCCAGAGAAGATGAATCAGGATAGGGATGGTGAAGGGCCAATGACACCCCCCTGGAGAGGCTGGGCCTGGGGCAAATTACCCTATAACAGCAGGCTAATTAGATAAGACCCAAATTAGATGAGCAAGGCTTGCAAGCCCAGCACTTTGAAGGTTTCATGTTGTTTCAGAGGTGGGGAGGGCTCAGTCTTTAGCTCAGCATAGAGAAAATGACTTCTTGCTCCCAGGCAAGCCAAACCCATGAATTAAGCTCTCGACTACCCATCCACAAACCCCAGTTCCAAGCAGATATAAGGAAGGGCACCTGTCAGTTCTCACAGCAACCTGTGGAACCCGTGTGGGATTTTGCCTTTGCTTCTCCCGTGACTGAGTTCCACCTGCACTGCAGCATGAGCCGCCAATTCACCTGCAAGTCAGGAGCTGCCACCAAAGGGGGCTTCAGCGGCTGCTCGGCTGTGCTCTCTGGGAGCAGCACGTCCTCCTACCGGGCAGGGGGCAAAGGGCTCAGTGGGGGCTTCAGCAGTCGGAGCCTTTACAGCCTGGGGGGTGCCCGGAGCATCTCTTTCAATGTGGCCAGTGGCAGCGGAAAGAGCGGAGGTTATGGATTTGGCCGGGGCCGGGCCAGCGGTTTTGCTGGCAGCATGTTTGGCAGTGTGACCCTGGGACCTGTGTGCCCAACCGTGTGCCCACCTGGAGGCATCCACCAGGTCACCGTCAATGAGAGCCTCCTGGCTCCCCTCAATGTGGAGCTGGACCCCGAGATCCAGAAAGTGCGTGCCCAGGAGCGGGAGCAGATCAAGGCACTGAACAACAAGTTCGCCTCCTTCATTGACAAGGTGGGTCTGTTAGGACCTGGGGAACCTGTGAAGAGCATGATTTCTTGGAATGTGAGCCTTTATTATAGCATGAGGGATGGAGATTAGATATGGAGAAGCATGTACTGTGGATAAGACAGGCATTTTCTATCATTAGGATAACTTGTGTAAGAGTCTTTGTGTAGCCTTTCCCCAGAAAAGACAGAGGCAGGTCAGCCTCTATTGGTAGAGGATTATCAGGAGGGTTAGTGAGTGGCAGGAGCACCTAAGAAAGAGCCCTGATTCTTACTTTCAAGGGCCATATTGGTACCATTGCTAAGCCTGGGCCCATGCAGACTGTGTGCAGAAAAGCCAGTGAGAGGGAATCTTCCCCAGGGTGACCAGGGAAGCTGTCCTCCCATCCATGGCCAGCCAATCTTGTCCACTGGTCACTTGACTGATGGCTCGGGGCGTCAGTGCATGATCATTCCCGGGTGGCTCTGCTAAAGGCATTGGTTTTGGTACGCTAAGGGCTGTCTTGGGAGGCAGAATAGTGCAGTGGGAAGTTAGACCTGACTTCCACCCTGGCCCATCATGTACCATCTGTGCACTTGCAGGGAGTTATTTATCTTGTCTGTGCCTCTGTTTTCTCATCTCCACAATGGAGATAATAACCTCCCTCTTGGGATTGTTGTCAGGCTTTTAAAAGAAAATGCCAGTGAAGATCTTGTCACAATGCCAGACATATACTAAATACTCTCCAAAGGTGGTTATTGTTACTATCATGTTAATCTCCAGAGAGCTAAGGGAAGAGTGTGAGAAGGAGAGCATCAAAGGTCTGGAACAGACCTCAAGGGATCATCCAGTCCAGACAGGCCGTTGACTCTCAGTAGATAAGAAATTATTGCTCCCATTTTATGAGTCAGCAAAAGCATGGAGGTGAAGACCATGCCCAAGGTCATCTGGGGAAGAGAAGGTGAGGTTGGATGTTCAGCCTCCTGCTTCCAAACCCAGTACTGGGGACTGGAGGGCTATGTTGGCTACATGATGGTGAGACATCAAGGACAGGTCAACCCAAGACAAAGCTGATGTTTGAGATAGTCAGCAGCCATCAGAGAGGCTGCACCCCCCACCCCAACTCCCTGCAATTCTCAACTCTTGTTCAGAGGAGAATTCCCTCCTACCCCTGCTCACCTCAGGGGCAAACAACATCTCTGTGGATTTTTACTTCTCTAAGTCATTTCACATCTGGAAGATGTGAAGATCAAGGTGTTTTGAGGTTTGGGGCTGGGGGATAAGAGTGGACTGCCCTTTGACTGAGCTGGCCAAACCCCATTAAAGGATGAAGTCTGGAGACGTGGAAAGAAAGATGAACACAAGGCAGTTACTTCTATGAAGTAGGGTGGTCTGACTGGGGTGAGGGGGATGCAGGCTCAAAGGCGTGCAGAGTTCCCAAACAATTTTAGACTCTAGAAGACTAAAGTCCCATACACTAGGCAGCCAGAGAAGGTTGTGTGATGAGCACATCCTATCAGCAATCTAGATATGTCTAGTGGTGTAGTCCAGATACGTATTGTGGTGTTCTGGGTGCAGGATTTACTCTGTGGTTCATGCTCAGCCTTGCAGATATACATGAAAAAAGTCAGGACAGGTTACACCAAATCAAATGCTGGCTAATCTGCTGGAGGTAAGCTATTTGGTGTCTAACCCATGCCAATAATTTCCAAAACTATCCCAGACAGTTTTCCAATATCCTGTGTTCCTGACTTTAGGGAATCAACCACGTTTAAACAGTAGTGCCCCACCCAAACTAAACAAGAGAGGTATATACAGATCCCCCCGCCCAGGGGTCAGTTTCCTGGCCCCTGTGAGGCCACAGTGACATGGGGGGCTCCATCTGTCCCCAGTAAAGACAGTTTTGGGGAGCAGGATGAGGGGAGGAGGAAGAGGTCATTAGCAAAGTGGAGTTGGGGCCTTACAGATATTTAGAATAGCCGAAGCTCTTGGCCCACTGAGCCTCGTTGAGCTGGACGTGCTGTAAAATGAACAGCATGCCCATTCTTTGGAGAGGTCAGCCTTCCCAAAGATGGACCCAGCTTGACTCTGTCCTGGCACCTTCAGGCACTGTGCTGGTTTGGTCATGGTGGGTGCTGAATGATTGGACACATGACTGATGCAGACCCATGTCTGGGTTCAGTCCTGGGCTCCACCACTTACTAAACCATCATATCTTGGAGAAAAGCTAAACTCTATACCTCAGTTTCTTCTCCATTAAATAAGGTTAAGGACTTGCCCACCTAATGTACCTCTTGTGAGGGGTAGAGAGCTTTGCACAGTGCCCTGTGAGTGACAGGTGTGACCATTTCTGTGGGGGTTCTACAGTTTCTGGGATTCTGGTTTCAGGTGCGGTTCCTGGAGCAGCAGAACCAGGTGCTGGAGACCAAGTGGGAGCTGCTGCAGCAGCTGGACCTGAACAACTGCAAGAACAACCTGGAGCCTGTGTACGAGGGCTACATCAGCACCCTGCGGAAGCAGCTGGAGACGCTGTCCGGGGACAGGGTGAGGCTGGACTCGGAGCTGAGGAATGTGCGGGATGTGGTGGAGGACTACAAGAAGAGGTGAGTGAGACGGGGACTCCTATAGCTTGACCACTTCTCCGTACCTTTGGATTCCTCCTTCCCTTGGGGCCCTGGCAGCTACCCCAGCTTAAAGTTTTTGGGGGGCAGTGTTTCTCATGATATGAAGCAGAATTACCCCAGCAAAATTCTGGAACTTGCTCTCTGCCTTTCTAGCCTCTGGCCTGGCACTTAGGACAAATGTCCAGTTCAGTTAGTTGGACTGTGGTCAGAGGATTAACTCCAGCTTTGGGGTGGGGGAAACCTTGGGTAACCACCAGGTTTTTCCAAGCTTCTGTGTCCTCATTGGTAAAGAGGGGCTTAAATCCATCTGCCTCCCAGAACTGCTATGAGGAGTAACTCAAGAAATGCCCCCATTTAAGGCTTATTTCAATTTTTGAGGGAGGAGATTGCTTCTTGCTTCCTCTGAATTTTACCATAGTACATTCACTCTACTTGCTCTCTCCTCACTTTTGAAGCTGGATCTTCAATAATCTCCTTCCAAACTTGGTTAGCATGTCCCTTCCCTCAGGAAGCCTTCTTTGCCTGGCTGGTCTCACCCGCCCAGTACTCCACAGCCTCTCATCACCTGTGCCCTCTGATGGGCACACTACCCTTCACTTAGAGTCTTCCTTGGGCACATGAGGCTTCTCAGTGAGACATATTAATCAACCAAGCACTGGCCTTCCCACAGGTATGAGGAAGAAATCAACAGGCGGACAGCTGCAGAGAATGAGTTTGTGCTGCTCAAGAAGGTGAGGGGAAGGCAGGCCCTGACTCTGGGTCTAGCTGGGAACCAGGAGATGCTGAGCCTGCAGTGTGCTCTGCTCTCAGAGAAAGTGAGCTGATTCAGAGCTAGTGAGCTGATTCAGAGCTAGTGAGGTAAAGGCAGGGAACCATGATGAAAAACTATTCAGAAAAGAGCATACAACGGCAGGGAGGATGATGGCCTTCCTGATGTTCAATGTGGATGGGTGTGTCCATAGTGAAGGACAGCAGAGGATGACACGCCAGGGGATCCCCTGCAGCCTCAGGGTCTGCTTAGACATCATAGGGATGACTGACAATAGCCGGGGTGGGGTTCCCTTCCTTTGAGAGGCCACCATCCCTGCTGATGGAGCAGAGTCTCAGGATGCTCCTTTGTCTCCTTTTCCATGGGCCCCTCAAAAGAAGAAGGTGGCCACACACCTGTGCAGGGCACCCAGGCTGGGGCAGCTATTGTCTCCTTGGCTGCGCTGGCAGTGACCAAGGTGTGGCTGGGGAATCTTTCAGGATGTGGATGCAGCTTATGCCAATAAGGTGGAACTTCAGGCCAAGGTGGACTCCATGGACCAGGAGATCAAGTTCTTCAAGTGTCTCTTTGAAGCCGTAAGTCTGTCTTTCCACTGCACCCCTCTGAGGGCAGCCAGTGGGTAAAACTCTATTCTGGGGGCTGGGAGGGGCATGGAGGGCCTCGCCCTCAAGGAGGCCCCCCAGATTAGTCATTCATCTCCCACCTCAGTCCCAAGAGGCTCCTCAGTCTCCACCTTCTGGGTGGGAAGGAAATGGACCAGGCTCTGGCCCAATGGTGGCAGGAATCTGTCCTGTGCCCAGTGGGAATTTGCCATGCTCAGGGAGCAACAACCTTGGTTTGAAGCCTCAAAATTGACATCACCAAGATCTGTTCACGTTCCTTGGGGAAAGTTTTTAGCCTTCGATAGTCAAATCCTGAGACTATCCTTGTTTCCCTGAAGGAGATCAATCAGATTCAGTCCCACATCAGCGACACATCTGTCATCCTGTCCATGGACAACAACCGTGACCTGAACCTGGACAGCATCATTGATGAGGTCCGGGCCCAGTATGAGGAGATTGCCCTGAAGAGCAAGGCTGAGGCTGAGGCCCTGTACCAGACTAAGGTGAGCTGGGCCAGAGGAGGGAACCCCAGCCAGTATGAGGGCTGGGCCTGATTGTTCCCAGGACAGACACAATGTTCATTTAAGAGTCCAATGTGCCCTGCCCCCATGACATCACCAACCCAAAACATCATGTATTCCCATGACATGTTCATCATACTCATCCATGGCTCTGTGCTCTGGGGTCCCCAGTTCCAGGAACTGCAGCTGGCAGCTGGCCGCCATGGGGACGACCTCAAAAACACCAAGAACGAAATCTCAGAGCTTACCCGGCTCATCCAGAGAATCCGCTCAGAGATTGAAAATGTGAAGAAGCAGGTAAAGGGCCTGGTTGCCTGTGACCTGGAGCATGTGGGGACAATTGAAGGGGAGATGAGTTGGCCAAGGATGGCAACCTCCCAATCTCTGCCCATGAGAGCAAAGGGGCCTCAAATATTTAGATTAGACCTCCCTGGAGTGCCCCGAAGCCTCCTCAGAACAAAGAATTCTGGGTTGGAGGCACCTCCCCTAGCATGCCTTCTCTCAACCTCCCCTGCTGGGCTCAGACCACAGTCCTCTGTCTCTCTGTTCCAGTCAGTGTGTTTTCTGGGCACCTGTGCTTTTCCTGTACTTGTCACACTTCTATAATTGTGTTTGCCTGTCCCTTTTTCCACTGGACTGGAAGGAGGCGGGGAGCTGGCTGCTTGGTGCCCCATTGTTTTTCCAGCATCTAGTATAATGCCTGGCACCTGGTGGCAGCTTAACAAACATTTCTTCACTAAGTGATTGAGAAGTGGGCTCAGAGAGCACCCATTAAAGTGCTTTCTGTGTTAAACTATTATAGACTTATACAGAGTCAGTCCTCAGCCTCAGTAGGTGGCAAGATAAGGTGTATGTATATAATACAATAGCCATGGTTTCTATCATTATATCATATTAAATCCTCACAAAGACTCTGAGGCAAGTGTCAGCCATTGTTACAGATGGGGAAACTGAGGCCCAGAGAGGTTATGTGGGCTGCACAGCTGGTGAGCAGCAGAGCTACGATCTGATCCAGGGTCTCCTGACTCCTGGCCCAGTGCTCTTTCTACTCTCACATAAGCTTTACACTTAGTAGCTCTATGATGTTGGGAAAGTCACTTGTCCTCACTATACAGGGTATTGTCAGGACTAGATAAGCTGAGGTATGCAAAAGGCAGGTAAAGGGCCAAGTGTCTCTCAGGTGGGCAGTAAGCACCTGGGAAATAAGAGTTGCTCCTGTGGTCCATGCACCTGGTCAGCCACTGTCGTTGTACCTGTAACACCATATTCCAGTGATCTCTCTTTCCTGACTTTAAACAACTCCAGAGCAGGAAGCCAATCTGACTTACTCATTTTGTATCCTTGGCACAGGAAGGCCGAGTAAATGTCTTTGTGGTAACTGAAGTGATGGTAAATTGGCCATCACCTCAGGAGGGCAGGATGCACTATTTATTCTCACCACCAATGTCTAAGCACAAGGGAGTGGAGATAGAGCTAAGGAAAGACTTGGCAATGCCAGAACGGGCCCCAGCCTAGAAGAGGACCAAGGAGTGTGAAGGGCAGAGGTGGGCTACTCTTCTCAGAACCTCAGACTGAGTGGTATTTGGATATAAAGGTCTCCAATGACACCTTCAAGTTTTCCAATATCTCCAATTCCCCATTTAGGCTTCCAACCTGGAGACAGCCATCGCCGATGCTGAGCAGCGGGGAGACAATGCCCTGAAGGATGCCCGGGCCAAGCTGGACGAGCTGGAGGGCGCCCTGCACCAGGCCAAGGAGGAGCTGGCCCGGATGCTGCGCGAGTACCAGGAGCTCATGAGCCTGAAGCTGGCCCTGGACATGGAGATCGCCACCTACCGCAAGCTGCTGGAGAGCGAGGAGTGCAGGTAAGGGGGGATGTGCTCTGGCAGAGAAGTCCCAAGGGTTTGGGGAGGACCTCAGGAGAAAGCCTATCACATCCTTATCCAGAAAAGATGAGTTTTGGGGGAGTGAAGAGGTGGTGATGACAGGAATAATAATAGCTATGAACAATTCCTACATAGGCATGAGTTCTTACTTCATACTGGGCACTGTGCTATGTGGACTAACTCATCCTGTCTTCACAACTTCCCTGGGTATACCTAGGCACACTCCCCACCCCACAAAAAAACCATTACCATGTCAGGGCTTCTTATTTCATCTTCCTTACCTGACTGGGTATAAGATGAGCTTGTCGAAGATGTTCCATTTTGGCTTCCCCAGTGTTCTTGGGAGACAGAGAGGCTCATGCTCTGGCCTGACCCTTGGGAAGTGTTTATACCACCCCCAAATGTGCACCTCACGTGAACTGCTTTTTGACTTAGGTTGCTGCCTGATTACCAACAATTTCAGGGATAGCCCCCCAACTTCTCAGGTTCTGCCTGTGCCAAAGAAGAGCTGGAATTTCCAAAAGTTCCCGTTGGGTTTAGAAGCCCACATCAGGCCAGAGGTGGCACTAGATCTGAGGTTCACAAATTGTGGGTTGCATGATTTCTTGCTCTTATTTTATTTCTCTCCCTAACAGGATGTCAGGAGAGTATACTTCCCCTGTCAGCATCTGTAAGTATTTGTATGTTTAGACCTAAAGCTGTAGAATATGCAGACCAGAAAGGGTCTTTGTCACACTCTGTGTGTGTTGATGAGCAATCTAAGAAGCAGAGAGGGAAAAACTCTGTCTGAGATCACAGAGCCAGATAGCAAGGCCAGAAAGCAGGCCTCCTGACTCCTAGCCCAGGGTTCCTCACTCCTTACCACTCTGTCTCCCTGTTCCCAAGGGCTGGCAGCTAGGAACAGGGAGACAAGCTGTGGGGATGGGGAAACAAAGGACATGTTGCAAGAAAGTGAGTACGGGTGTATGTGAGGCTTGAGGAATCCTGCCTACAAGCTGTGATCAGTCCTGGCCTTTGGACTTAGAGGGGGCTGGAGTCAGTGAACAGGGGACCTTGATCATAGAGCTGACAATGATGGATCTTTGTGTTTCTCAGTGGGGCTAAGAGCATTAAACCAGAACTTCTGAAAGATGTTATCTGTGGGGCTAATAACAGGAGGGAGAGGTTGAAGGATGGGAATTTTTACCAAAATAAGTTAATAGAAAGGGCAGGGGTAGGTGTCAAGAATGACAGGTGGATACATTGGTGCCTGAACCAAAAAAATGGGCCTTTGAGAGTTAAGAATCAGCCAGATTGGGTGTAAGCTGAACAAGCCAGGGGCAGGATGTGCCCAAAACTGTCTCAGGAATACTTCCCCCCCGCTGGGGGCAGGGTCATCTGTGACTAGAGCCCCCACTCAACTTACTGCTCCAAGAAGCTCCCCAGCTCTGGCTGAGGGGTGCTGACCCATCCTTCCTCTGCAGCCATCATCAGTAGCACCAGCGGCAGCAGTGGCTATGGCTTCCGGCCCAGCTCGGTCAGTGGCGGCTATGTGGCCAACAGCAGCAGCTGCATCTCTGGAGTGTGCAGCGTCCGTGGCGGGGAAAGCCGGAGCCGAGGCAGTGCCAGCGACTACAGGGATTCCTTGGGGAAGGGCTCCAGCCTGGGTGCTCCCTCCAAGAAAGCTAGTCGGTAGAGAGGGTGACCTGGTGCCCTCCTGCCACCCCTGTGTCCCAGCAGGGGCTCTGGCTCCCACATGTGCTCTCCCCAGTCGACCGTCAGCCCCATCCCGCAGGCCCTGATGTTGTACCTCAGGCTCTGGCCTTGGCCACCTCACTTCTCCCAACCTGTGTCTTCCTGAGCCTGGGCAGGTGTGGACAACTAAACCTGGTGAAATTCCTCCCTGCACACACCCAGCATTCACCTCCTTGGCTGTGGTCTGCCAGCTATGGCACCAGCTCAGCCCCTGGCTCCAGCCCCTGGCTCAGCTGCTAACTACTCTATCTAGCCCCTGGATCTCGGACCAAGGCCCCCTCTCACATAAGGCCTTTGTCCTGATTCCTGACTATGCTAGGAGCTGGCTCTCTGTCCAAGTAAAGGACTGAAAGACAAACAACCAAGAGAGGCCTAGTCCACACCCCACCCTGGCTCAGACTCACCACTTATTCTGAGTGAAACCAAGCATGACTCAAGGTCTCTTTTTTCACTCTCTGCACCCAGAAGCAGAGAAGAGGAGGCCTGTTCACTTCTCCTTTCTTCTTGCATCCTCAATAAACAGCAAAATCTGATGGCTTGGTCTCTCTGAGTGGTCAAGGTATATACACAGACTCCGTTAAGATGCTCACAAGAGCAGGCACAACACACTACACAGACACACACGGTCACGTAGAGCACACCACTGCATATTGCCAGGGTGGCCCATATTTGTAGGTTAATTTTCCCTACAGAGCAGAAACAGAAGAAGCTCTCAGAGAAGACATGGCAAAGGGGCTTAGAACACCACTGGGGCGGCAGGGAGATGAGTATGGAGCAGAGTTTGGGAGGAGAAAGGGGGAAGGGCTGAGGGAGAAGAAGGGAGAAACTCCAGAAGGGTGTGAGTGCAGCCTGGTTTGTGTCCAGTGTCAGCACTGGTCCTGCTCCCAGCAGGGAACTTTCTGAGAATGGGGCCTTTCCTAGAGGGAAGATGGGGGCTTGGCAGACAGGTATCTGTGTTGGTTCAACTCTTTCCTCTCTGATCAGAGACCTGGCCTCCTGGAGGGGGGGTTGCACAGGAGGAGTAGAGCTAGTGGGACCCCACACTCTGAGCCTCTCTGCTGGAAAGCTAAGACAGGGAACACATTTTTGAAACCTATGGCTCAGCTGGAATGGAGTGAGTTGGGAGTCAGAACACACTGAGAATTTCAGTGACTGTAGTTCACTCTGAAATCACTGTGGTGGTGGCCAGTCCTGCCTTGTGGTGAGGAGGAAGGTAAGCAGGACAGGTGGGATGATTCTTGGTGACCAGCATGAGCCTGCAAACCTCAGCCAGGAAGTCCTTGGGGCCCTAGGGGTCTTCCAAAGATGGAGGGGGAGAGACTGGAGGAAAGGATGGATGGGTTGGTTTGGTGGATAGAACTTCAGAGTAAGTGACCAGGGCTTAAGACAACGTCTCATAGCCAGGCTTCAACCCCCACCAGCCAGAAGGTGACCATCAACCAGAACCCCCTGGCTGCCCTCAAGCTGGAAGTCAACACTACCCTTTAGCAGGTGTGGGTAGAAAAGGAGGGCAGATCAAGACTCAGCAACAAGTTTGTTTTCCTGGTTGACAAGGGGATGTCTGTGTGTGTGTGTGTGTGTGTGTGTGTGTGTGTGTGTGTGTGTTTTCAGAACTAGTAGAGACATTGCCATTTCCTTAGCAAAGGATCCACACACACCTACTGCCTTTCTGTTGCCCTGCAGCCTTTGCAGCAGTAAGGACTAAGGTGGGATAGCAGAACAAACTTTCCAGGCAAGAGGCTTAGAAGCAATGCTAGATTCTCATGTGTGGGGATGAAGACTGCTTCTCTGGAGACTGCTAGTTCATCACCAAACCTGGGGAGGGAGTGGAGAACTCTCCCATGTCCTTTTGTGCTTGAAGATCACAGAGGTCTCTGAGGTGGACAGGGTTTTCCTGAGTTCTGAGCCTGTTTTCTTGAGCAGTGGACCAAGGTGCTGGAGACAGAGTAGAACTTCCTGCAGGAGAGAGGACCTGAGTTGTCACCTTGGCAGGTCCCAGAGTGACAGGGCTGGATGTGGATTACAGACCAGGCAGGACTTGGAGGATGATTTAGGGAACATATGCAGAGGCTGGATATCTCGAGCCCAATTCCCACTCACCTGTGCGGAAACCAGTCCTCAGAAAGGGTCAGTGAAGGAGCATGGCCCAGGCCTCTGACTCCAAATCCATTGCTCTTTGCATTTTACTACTTGTCATAACAATTCCTGCTGGATTCCCACACCCAGCTAGCATCAGGACTGAAAGGGCAAAGTCTTGCTCCTGTGCATCTGAAGCATGAAGTGCCACCTAAACTCAGGGAGCTCCTCACGCTGCTGTGTCGGGAAAGCCGCCTGTTGGCCTGGGGCTGAGCTTCCCATTGTCTTGCAGGAAGGGACAAATGGCAAACCTAGGCCTAAGACACGTCCATGTTCCTGTCCATGGGTGACAAGTACTCCTGCATCTGGCTGCATCATCGTGAGCTGCACACCCAGGAGGAGAGCATGGTCCAGAGGTGGCCCAGGCCCAGGCCCAGGCCCAGACCCAGATCCTGGGAGACCCAGGTCCTGGGAGCAGTGCTCCTGGGCTAGGCCCCCTCTGCTTTCTGACAGCCTGGGATGAAAGTCTATAGTGCTGAAATCCAGGCTTAAAAGACACCAGGCAGGAAGATCAACAATATCTGGGAGGAAAATTCACAGGAATGGGATTGACCCATGACCTTCTGAGTGAGTTTCTCAGGAATTTAGGGATGGAGTGCTGACCATAGGTACTGAGTCCTATAACCATGGTTGGGTGAAAATAAGAGATGAAAAGTGAGAAAGCTGAGCACAAAGGTGAAGTAGAGGACCTTGCACTGCAGGACTGTTTTAAGAGACAGGATGCCCACCATTACTGGAGGTGTTCGAGAACACACTTGACAGGTATTATAGGGGACTCAAGAGTTGCACAGATGGTTTGACTAGACTATCAAATTAAAATCAAATTTTAATTTGCATATCACTCTTTTAGGGATCTTATTATCAGGCACCTTATGCTTCAGTAGGTCCATATAGGCACCTGGGGATCCATTAGAGCAGGCTGAGGCCTCTTGGCTTTGACCAAGGCTCTACTCCTTTTCCCATCTGTGAAGCTTCATCTCTATGACCCTGTCCTACACTCCAGGCCCAGAGTACCCTATGGGTGTCTGAGGGGAGGGAACAGAAACTGATGTTTATGGAGTGCCTACTGTGGACCAGAACCTCCTTGGGCTGGGCATGTCACCACTCTGAGGTGGATGTTGTTATTCCTAAGACAGAAACATGCTAAACCCAGGACCAATGAGCCAGTACATGAAGCCAGGATTCTATGAGGTCTTTTTCTCCAAAACCCACACTCTTTCCACATTGCCACCCTGCTTCTGGTCTGGCAACCATCTGTCCCTGCCCACTCAGCTGCTGTGCCTTTCCACCCTGCCCTGACATCCTGTGGGCTCCTTGCCTAGTATCTGCTGGAACTTCCATCCATCATATTCCATCATCTGAAGCTTGATGTCTCTGATTCCTAGGCTCTGGGCTGAGTTCCCTTTTCCCCTGGTTGCCATGTAACTGATTTCCATTTTCCCTACCGCAGGTTACCTGCATAGGCTGTGGCCCCATTGTCACCTGTCAGTCATAGAAGCCAACCCCTAAATGGTGGGGGCATGAGGACAGCACATAAATCTAGCAGGTGGTGTTGGCTCCAGCCTAGGAGCAAGAGGGATTGAGGAGAGAGGATGCAGGGAGGTGGGCTGGGGAGTGGAGTTAGTGTGGGGCAAGGGACACTTTTGGAGGGAATTGGGCTGAAACAGACCAGGATAGCAGTTTATCCTGAGAAGCTGGCTGGGCTCTTGGAGCAGAAACATCAAAATGAAATCCCAGACCAGCAAGAAGCATTTGGAGAAACATAAAGGAGATGGCCTTGAGCATGCAAGTGCGCCCTCTGGGCACTGTCCTTTCTCTAGATGTTGGTGTGGTGGCCAGTCCAGCCACCTCTGCAATCACCCCTGACAGAGCAGTCTCCACTTTTCATGAGCACCTTCTGAGGAGACTCCAGAGTCCTCATGTCTCACAACCTGGCCTTAGAAAAAATTCTGTGTCGTGTCTGACTGTCAGCCTCTAGCTACACAGGACCTTGACTCCCTGTCACACATGTGTTACCTTGCCCAGAAATAAAGATGGTTTCTTACCTGCCTTACTCACCCATGGCCTTCTCAGGGATGGAGGCTATCAGGTCGTGTAGCCTGACCCCAATTCTCTAATGTTCCCTCATTCAACTGTGGCCTTATCACAGCACCAGCTCAATGAGAGAAGATATTTTTTAAATCCAATTCTCTTCCTTTCTCTGCCTTAGCAGTTTCTTATTCCTCCTGTTCTAGTCTGGAATATCATCATTGTCCATAGCCAGTGTTTGTGAAAGAGGGAGAAAAAGCCAACCAAAAATGAGGGTGAGGACACAGAACACATCATTCGGAATCTTAGATGATCCAAGGATTCATTTACAAGTAGAAAATATTTATGTTTTAGGAACTAGCTCCCCTCACTGGGTCCTAATTTTTTTCTGGCTTGAATAGATTTTTGAAGGTCCTGAAATTCAGCCAAAGCAAGACGGTTACTATGGCAAATCTTCAAAACAAATAAAAGGTAGCTGAATCATGGTGTCGACAGCCTGAGGATGGATGGGACAAGGGTGGGTTGTGGGAAGATTCCTGTTGACTCAAACCAAAGGTAGAGTGACACTCCAAGTAGAGTGTCAGGGAAAGGGGCCCCATGAAAGTTGAGACAGGTTTGAAATAGAAGGTTGGTGAGGACACCCCACCCTCTGAAGCCAGAAAGGTGGGGTATTCCCTCTGCACGTCCTCAGCTGGCAAGTCAGCCCAGGCCCGGAGCTCTCTGACCTGGAGCTTTCGTCCGGGGGAAGATGCCAAGGAAGGCATCTTCCCAATTTGG